GAACAGTCTCAGAGAGACAGACAGAAGCAGAACAGTCCCAGAGACAGCACAGCAGAACAGCCTCAGACACAAGTACAGCGAACAGTCTCAGACACACAGTACAGAAACAGTCCGACAACAGCTGAAGAGTCTCAGACAACACAGAACAGTCCAGACACAGTACAGCAGAACAGTCTCTGCACACACAGTACAGCAGAACAGTCTCTCAGACACACAGTACAGCAGAACAGTCTCAGAGAGACACAGTACAGCAGAACAGTCTCAGGGAGACAAGAACAGCAGAACAGTCTCAGAGACACAGTACAGCAGAACAGTCTCAGACACACAGTACAGTAGAACAGTCTCAGAGAGACACAGTACAGCAGAACAGTCTAGACACATGTAAAGAACAGTCTCAGACACACAGTACAGCAGAACAGTCTCAGACACACAGTACAGCAGAACAGTCTCAGACACACACAGCAGAACAGTCTCAGAGAGACGTACAGAGACAGAAGAGAACAGTACAGCAGAACAGTCTAGACACACAGTACAGCAGAACAGCCTCAGAGACACAGTCACAGCAGGAACAGTCTCAGAGACACACAGTCAGCAGAACAGTCTCAGACACACAGCAGCAGAACAGTCCTTGAGACACAGTACAAGCAGAACAGTCTCAGACACACAGTACAGCAGAACAGTCTCAGACACAGCACAGCAGAACAGTCTCAGACACAAGGTACAGCAGAACAGTCTCAGAGACACACAGTACAGCAGAACAGTCTCCGGAGACACAGTAAGAAGCAGAACAGTCTCAGAGACACAGCAAGCAGAACAGTCCTCAGACACACAGTACGAAGAGAATAGCCCCGAGACACAGCAGCAGAACAGTCTCAGAGACACAGTACAGCAGAACAGTTCCTCAGAGACACAGCATGCAGAACAGTCTCAGACACACAGTACAGCAGAACAGTCTCAGACACACAGCACAGCAAACAGTCTCAGAGACACAGTACAGCAGAACAGCCCTTAGAGAGACACAGTACAGAGGCAACAGTTCAGACACACAGCAGCAGAACAGTCTCAAGACACAACAGGGAGAGAACAGTCTAGATACACAGTACAGCAGAACAGTCTCAGAGACACAGTACAGCAGAACAGCTTCAGAGAGACACAGCACAGCAGAACAGTCTCGTCAGCACAGTAAGGAGTCTAGACACACAGTACAGCAGAACAGTCTCAGAGACACAGTACAGCAGAACAGTCTCAGAGACACACAGCAAGAACAGTCTCAGACACACAGTACAGCAGAACAGTCCTCAGACACACAGTACAGCAGAACAGTCTCAGAGACGCATAGCAGAACAGTCTCAGAGACACAGTACAGCAGAACAGTCTCAGACACACAAAGCAGAACAGTCTCAGAGACACAGTACAGCAGCAGCAGTCCCAGAGACACAGTACAGCAGAACAGTCTCAGACACACAGTACAGCAGAACAGTCTCAGGAGACACAGTACAGCAGAACAGTCTCAGACACACAGTACAGCAGAACAGTCTCAGACACACAGTACAGCAGAACAGTCTAGAGAGACACAGTACAGCAGAACAGTCTCAGAGACACAGTACAGCAGAACAGTCTCAGAGAGACACAGTACAGCAGAACAGTCTCAGACACACAGTACAGCAGAACAGTCCAGAGAGACACAGTACAGCGAACAGTCTCAGACACACAGTACAGCAGAACAGTCTCAGACACACAGTACAGCAGGAACAGTCTCAGACACACAGTACAGCAGAACAGTCTCAGAGAGACACAGCAGGCAAAAGTCTCAGAGACGCAGCAAGCAGAACAGCCTCAGACACACAGTACAGCAGAACAGTCTCAGACACACAGCAGCAGAACAGTCTCAGAGACACAGGTACAGCAGAACAGTCTCAGACACACAGTACAGCAGAACAGTCTCAGAGACACAGCACAAGAACAGTCTCAGAGACGCAGCAGAAGCAGCCTCAGACACACAGTACAGCAGAACAGTCTCAGACACAGTACAGCAGAACAGCCTCAGAGAGACACACAGTACAGTAGAACAAAGTAGCAGAACAGTCTCAGAGAGACAGTACAGCAGAACAGTTCAGACACACAGCAAAGAACAGTCTCAGACACACAGTACAGCAGAAAGCTAGACACAATACAGCAGAACAGTCTCAGACACACAGTACAGCAGAACAGTCTCAGACACAGGCACAAGAAAAGTCTCAGACACAATACAGCAGAACAGTCTCAGACACACAGTACAGCAGAACAGTCTCAGAGAGACACAGTACAGCAGAACAGTCTCAGACACACAGTACAGCAGAACAGTCTCAGACACACAGTACAGCAGAACAGTCTCAGACACAATACAGCAGAACAGTCTCAGACACACAGTACAGCAGAACAGTCTCAGACACACAGTACAGCAGAACAGTCCAGACACAACAGCAGAACAGTCTCACACACAGTACAGCAGAACAGTCTCAGAGAGACAGTACAGCAGAAAGTTCTCACACAGTACAGCAGAACAGTCTCAGACACACAGTACAGCAGAACAGTCTCAGACACACATAAGCAGAACAGTCTAGAGACACAGTACAGAGAACAGTCTCAGACACACAGTACAGCAGAACAGTCTCAGAGACACAGTACAGCAGAACAGTCTCAGACACACAGTACAGCAGAACAGTCTAGAGAGACACAGTACAGCAGAACAGTCTCAGACACACAGTACAGCAGAACAGTCTCAGAGACACAGTACAGCAGAACAGTCTCAGAACACACAGCACAGCAGAACAGTTCCAGACACACAGTACAGCAGAACAGCCTCAGAGACACAGTACAGCAGAACAGTCTCTCAGAGACACAGTACAGCAGAACAGTCTCAGAGACAGTACCGCAGAACAGTCTCAGACACACAGTACAGCAGAGAACAGTCTCTAGACACACAGTACAGCAGAACAGTCTCAGACACACAGTACAGCAGAACAGTCTCAGAGACACACAGTACAGCAGAACAGTCTCAGACACACAGTACAGCAGAACAGCCTCAGACACACACAGTACAGCAGAACAGTCTCAGAGACACAGTACAGCAGAACAGCCTCAGAGACACACAGTACAGCAGAACAGTCTCAGACACACAGTACAACAGAACAGTCTCAGACACAGTACAGCAGAACAGTCTCAGAACACAGTACAGCAGAACAGTCTCAGACACAGTACAGCAGAACAGCCTCAGAGACACAGTACAGCAGAACAGTCTCAGAGCACACAGTACAGCAGAACAGTCTCAGACACACAGTACAGCAGAACAGTCCAGACACACAGTCACAGCAGAACAGTCTCAGAGACACACAGTACAGCAGAACAGTCTCAGACACACAGTGCAAGGCAACGTTCAGAGACACAGTACAGCAGAACAGCCTCAGACACACAGTACAGCAGAACAGTCCCCAGAGACACACAGTACAGCAGAACAGCCTCAGACACACAGTACAGCAGAACAGTCTCAGACACACAGTACAGCAGAACAGTCTCAGACACACAGTACAGCAGAACAGTCTCAGACACACAGTACAGCAGAACAGTCTCAGAGACACAGTACAGCAGAACAGTCTCAGAGACACAGTACAGCAGAACAGTCTCAGACACACAGTACAGCAGAACAGCCTCAGAGACACAGTACAGCAGAACAGTCCCAGACACACAGTACAGCAGAACAGTCTCAGACACACAGTACAGCAGAACAGTCTCAGACACACAGCAGCAGAACAGTCTCAGAGACACACAGTACAGCAGAACAGTCTCAGACACACAGTACAGCAGAACAGCCTCAGAGACACAGTACAGCAAGAACAGCCTCAGACACACAGTACAGCAGAACAGTCTCAGACACACAGTACAGCAGAACAGTCTCAGACACACAGTACAGCAGAACAGTCTCAGACACACAGTACAGCAGAACAGTCTCAGACCCACAGTACAGCAGAACAGTCTCAGACACACAGTACAGCAGAACAGTCTCAGACACACAATACAGCAGAACAGTCTCAGACACACAGTACAGCAGGCAGGACTAGGACAAGGATACAGTTTCAGTCACAAACAATGCAGCAATATAACAGCATCAGATACACAATACAGCATACAGGAAAACATCGGTGATAAAAAGTACAGCAACACCACAAGGTTACACAGAACAGTTGTGGCCACAGCAGGTACTTACCCAAGAGTGTGCTGTTGGTGATGATCTGGAATATCTTACCGGGATCCATGGTGAACCCGTGATACTCAGATCAAATGTTTTATATCCCGCGTTAGTCTTCCAGAGTCTTATCACCACAAAGTCTCATCAGTAGACTACACAAAGTTCTCTATGTTCAAGACTTTTAAAGATGGCCTCCGATTATTGACTGTAGGTGGCTGTTGACGAGATTTAAATTTTGTCAGGATATAAGCTGAATACATTATTAAGGGTGGTAGATAATGGAGGTGGTGAAGCAAGAGCTATTTTGTGTGATAACATTAAACACAACTTTTATCACCAGGTCATTTTAGCCTGTACCTCCTTGAAGCTCCGCCTTTGATGCTTATGTTCCCATTATGATTATCCTGTGTTGGCTTTAATGAACTTGCCTTTGACGTCCATCTTATGTCGTTCACAGTTCACGAAAAATTTCTCAATGTTGGGTTTGTGACTCTGAGGAATACAAACACTGTGACGTCTGATAGTGTGGAACCTCCCGAGATACTCACAACAGAAGGCCACTCGCAGTAAGGTCTTCTAAATACGTTGGGGTTAAGTGTCATAAAGTACAAAACAGAATTACTCTAGAATTTGTTTTCCTTATTTCTGTCCGTCTAGAACATAGCAAAGGGAATGATAACGACGCATGAGTCTGGCGATATAATTTGGTAAAACTTAACAGGAGAAAATCAGCAGTGATCTAAGAATAATTCATATCTCTTTACTATGAGAGCTGCAACTGTGGTGGTGTGTTGATAAGAAGAGTGCATCGAGTAAACTCAATTTTGTCATTCACGTGTCCAGTTAAAGGTTAGCTATATATTATAAAATTCATCTGTTCGGATTGGTTTTGTCCGTATACATGTAGAAGTTGTTATTTATCACTGCAAACTGAATAAATGCGATTTATTTCACTTGTCTTCTACTTTTGATTCTACATTGGAAACCATCACAAAGTCAGGGACACTAGACAGTCACCCAATAAGCCTGCAGCCTCTTTCAACAACGTCCGTTATAAGAGAAGATCAAAAGCCTTCACATATTTTTATCAGTAAAGTGGGCAACATATGCGAGGCTCCAGGCTGCCACCCTTCACACTCGCACCTTTTCTTCCCTGCTCAATAAATTTTCCACCATCAATAAATCTGCGTCATCTATCACACACCGCTGTCTCAATCTTGTCTTGGGCGTCGTCCACTAAAGGAATAGCCTTAGAAACACGAGCATGAAAAGAACTATAAATTTTGAGAGTTTGCACAGAGTTTTAATTACCAACTGTTGGTGAATCTTATAAGTTACTAGAGAGTGAAATCCTACTTGTTAAACTTCCACGTATTTAGGCGAACACTTAACTACAAAGAGAATCAGGTATTTAACACTTATATATTCTTTAAATAACACAGAAAACCAAACTTTTGAAAGAAAATTCCATGGACAATAACTCTTACATATTCTACGTCATCACATTTCCTTATAGGGACGCAGGAAGTGTTCCAATTAAGCAAATTAGAACATTACTGTATGACAATTAACAGAGGCAGAAGCGTGGAGGTACAAGGGCTTGCTGGCAGGGGCTACGTCCTCTCAACTCCAAAAACTCATTAAGTGTTGGAATGTCAGCAGCAACGCTCGACGTATCAGGTGAGAATATGCTAGCTTTGTTTTCAGTATCACTTGAGAGTAGCGACGCTCATTTGTTGCCTCTGATGTATGTAACGATGATGGAGGAGGTTGGGGAGAAGACAAGGCAAAGACGAAGGGACATTTGAAAAAGAAAGAAATTATTCAAAATCACAAAAAAAAGAATACCAAATATAAGAAAATAAACAAGGAGTAAAATGATGAAGTTTATGAACTATACCACAACGTGAGTGGTTGGTTCTCCGGCTTAGTGGTTCCTTAACAACCATCACAAGAAACAAATGACCATCTACTAGCTTCTCCCGTTACATTCCCTTAATCCATGACCAACATTAACCGTCCTGTTCACTACGAGAGGCTGGGATTAATGAACAACTTCTGCAGGAAAAAAGATCTTTGAATATATATAATCAATTTATCTGATCATTATGAGGACGTGTATCAAGAACCCATATTTATTTAGTGTTAACAAGTATGTTTTAGCGAATTATAGTTAAGAACGGAGTTTCAAACAGGACCTCTCGCTATTCTGTGTGTTCACAGTGTGGCGAGCAGGAGGTAGCCGTTCCAGGACTCCTCAGTAGTAATTGCGGACACAGGCGTCGTGGATATTAACAATCATCAACATTACGGGCGTCTTTAGCGGACAACACTTTCTTTCCTTATCACTCGTCAATCAACACTTGTAGTTAGTTAGTTAATACGTTTATTAGTCAAGCGAGGAGCGAGCGTCTCGTGTCATTCTACCTAATACTTTCATAAATAAATTGACATCACGGGACTAAGGCGCGCCAAAGTCTGCATCATGTCACAAGTTACTCTTAAATCAAAATATCTTTATGAGTAAGAAAGCCTTTACACAGTTACAGAGAGTTTGCCATTAAGACATAGCAAGTTGGTGACAATGTCTTAAGACAATTACTTATGATAGATGTGTTACGTGTCAACCACCTCTGACACAGCCACTGACAATCAATATAAAGTATAAATTGATCGAGGATGAACTGAAGCTTCGGTGCTTCTTACACGCAAGAAAACACTGCGAGGAGCCGCTCAGTATGGCACTGTGAGGTGGCACTGAGCCAGGGAGCGCCAACAACTGCGTCCAGAGACGAGCGGCGAGCGACTGTGGCAGCCTCCAGCCCTAGCTAGCTCTCCTCCCCCGCCTCAGCCGCCAGAGCCGCCAGCTGCGGCTTCCTCCATCACCCACCCAGCGGCTCTCCTCCCCCGCACCAGCCGCCACCAACATCAGCTGCGGCGGCCTCCACCCACCGGCTCTCCTCCCCCGCATCAGCCGCCACCATCACCAGCTGCGGAGACTTCTCATTTCCTTGAACCCCAGTGGCTACACCCGCCGCTATATACGCGGCCAGAGCTGCCCCAATTAACACATATATATATATATATATATTATATATATATATATATCAACGACCTCACCAGCAAGGAATCGAACCCTCGACCAACTGGGTGGGAACTAGGAACGCTTATGGCGTTATATGGACTAAAATGAAGTATACATATATATATATATATATATATATATATATATATATATATATATATATATATATATATATATATATATATATATATATATATATATATATATATATATATATATATATATATATATATATATATATATATATATATATATATATTGAAAAAAAAATTATCTGGTGTGTACAACAAAATAATCTATCAGTTGTGTATAACAATTTAATCGGAAAAATTGTTGATGATTGGTTTGTAAAAATAAATGAAAAACTGCCATTGGTGCCGCTGGTAGAGCCAGATAAAACACGCTCCGGTTTTGTCCTCAATGTGTGTATATATTTTGTATCGCACGACTCTCACGAGAGTACATGACTGAAGCTCACATTCAACTTTGGCGTAAATCTATTAAAACAGTAAACTAGTTTTGACCAAACACAAAGAGACAAACAATATGTGCACTACCTTGTGCACCAGGCTCCCTCGCCTTGTGACACGACAGGGAAAGATATAACGACGAGTTTCCACCTGACGGGGACACAGGTGAAGGTTATATCATACAGTTCACCTGTTGTAAAGGTGACACGCCACCGTCAACACGTGCGAGGGGAAATACATCAAGAGTTGAACTGTTTTTTGTCGGGCCAGATATTGTTCACTGGACCAGCTGGCCATAAGGTTTTCCTGGCTGGAGATATGATAGTAATATAGTTCACTAAATAAGGTACCTACGCACCTTACCTGAGGTTATACAGCTCACCTTCCTACTTAGCTCACTTTACCGACATATATAAAATTCACTGGACTGGTGTTGGCTAGGTAACGGGACAGTGAGTTATATATTTTAACTGGACTGAGAGGTTACACAGTTAACTGGAAATGTGAACTGTATAACACCTAACCCAGTCAGTCAAGGTAGCCAACAGTCTGTACTCACCCCTGAAGATGTGAATTACACAAGCGCTTGGGAACTGTTTTCTTCTTTCCTTGTGGTTATCATATATATATATATATATATATATATATATATATATATATATATATATATATATATATATATATATATATATATATATATATATATATATATATATACAATTTCCCAAAGCACCTGCGTCACAAACTCGACAAGATAAGATTTCTTCCGACTCACTTGAAAACTGCGAGTTTATTAAATTTTCAGATGCCGTAATGTGTCAGCAGACCGTGACCTTTAACATCAAGCTGTCAGCCAACACGAGACTAAAAAACTTATTCAAATCCTAAACTTTCTTTCCCATCTTGGAATTATAAAAGAAGCAGAAACACTTCAGGGATATCCTAGGAGAGAGACACACACACACACACACACACACACACACACACACATATACATATTATTATGTGTGTGTGTGTGTGTGTGTGTGTGTGTATGTGTGTGTATGTGTGTGTGTGTGTCTTAGAAGAAACATAGCGTCAAGATACATAATGGACTAAGTTCATCTATGAACTCTTACAGAAAGTGGTTTGTTAGTTTAGGTTAATAAAAACAGTAAAAATAACGCTATAGATCGTAAATTTTCACGAACGAAACGCTCATTTTACGGTTACTAACCTGTTTTTCCCTTAAAATTTACGGTACGGCACCGGTAAATAATTGACTTAAAAAACACAGTAAAATTTACACTAAAGGCCGTTAAATTTACGGCTTTAGGCTGGCAACTCCCACCTGTCCTGTGACCGTCAATTTTAAGGTATATTTTTAACAGTGTAGGTTACGTTAGAGAATAACTTCCATTCATTTTTAATTCTTACGAGTAAACACTTTATCAACACGTTTCAGACCTCAGTTTACAGAGATTATTCTTTTTAAACTTTATACAAAATTTACATCTCTTCTTCCTCTTAATTTTAAACTGAACTTGGCTTCGACAGTGACGAATAGATCTTTTAAGAAGTGTTCCAACTATTTGATGACGAATAGAATTTCTTAAGAAAGTTACTCTTTGATAATGACTTCGCCTGGATTTTTAGACACACTCACTGGAACAGCAATCCATAAGGTAATATACTAACCCTAACATGTTACCTGTATATAACGCAGATGTTAAGTTTCCTCTCATTTATATAATTGACACAAGATTTTTGCTTTAACATAAAACTAAACAGCTAAGAGTCATTTTTCAGACGAGAATCATGATCAGTAGTTCCCTTAAAATCAAAGACTCGGTTACAACAGTCGCCTCTTATACACAAATACACTTGTGATAGCTGTAAGGCATCGTCTATTGACAACACTAAGAGACGCTCAACATATCGTATTCCTGAACACCTGGATCATTCACTGGAGCTCGTATGACTAAAGATATTCTGTTCTTTTCAGCAATTAGGAATCACCCAGAAAACATGATCACCATTTATGTCCGCCTCGGTGTTCTCAGTCCTGGACAGACGAACACAGAGCAAGACCGACCAATAATGGAGTGTCTGGTCTCATGCATATACAAAAGACTTACAGACACATGCAAGACAACGATTCAGTTCATCTGCTTTTGATGCATTACGTCAAAATTGGGTCCCATAAACCAGACGATTCGTAAAGGGCAGTGTGGATATAACTCTCTGAATACTAAGTCTATTTTCAGTTCTCTAGGAGGCATAGTTTGGCCGGCTCGTCACTCGTCTATCTTCACGTCCCCAGCTGTAGAATTATGCACTATTTTACAACTGGTTCGACTCGGGGTCCTCCAGCAAAACTTAAACCATTCAGCAGCCGTAATGTTTGTTATTATTTGACGATGTGTACAGGATATCTTGTTTTATTTATTTACATTTTTCACTCATAAAGTTCCCCAATTTTATAATATTTTCTTGGTTATTTTATTGACATTTTTATATCGTTTGCTCTAACCTTCACCACTTGGACAACTCTACACTTTTAAAACATTTTTGTAAGTTAAGGAGTTTCGTTTTTTTAATTGCTACAGCATTTAATGTATTATTTTATACGGTAGATGACTGTACTGTACTGTATATAATTATGCTTTATTACCAAGTTTTGTCATTTAAATAGATACATTTCAGTACCAATTGTCTCTGAAGATCTAATAGGATGTTTTGAATCTCTCTCTCTCTCTCTCTCTCTCTCTCTCTCTCTCTCTCTCTCAGACCAGTGAGAATTGTTAATATCAAAAGTTAGTGTTAATGATACATACTTGCTAAATGTGTCATTGTCAAGGCTAAGTATTGTTAATATATCCGTAGTTATGTTACAGTGTTGATGGTACGGTGTTAAAAATGTTAGTATTCAGTGTAAATAATGATTTTAAATAAGTTTTAAAAGAACCACCACTGTAAAGAAGGTAGGAAATAACAGCAGTGTTAAAACTGCCGGTTTAACAAAGTGCTCTAAAATAAAGTCAATTGTCCTTCGAGCTTAAAATTCCATCAGGGTGATAAAAAAAATAACATGGAATAAAGAGTGAGTGTGAAGTGGTAGGTTAGGTTAGGTTAGGTTAGGTTAGGAACAGAGAACGGAGTACCTGTGTGTTAGTAGTGTTTGTTAGGCTCAGTTTATCTCGTCTAACGTGTGTAATGTCTTTAGGAATTATATCAGGAATTCGAAGGACTCACAAGGCCGTTATTAGAGATTATGTGTGTGTGTAAAGAAGACGTTTCTATTGTGTTCATGAAGCCCTAATATCAGTGTTATAGCGGCCTTGAACCTCTGAAGTGGCCTGTTATTGTGTTTCAGATATTCAGTGGGTGATAGGCATTTTCTGTGTCTCCTGAAATTAACTGAACTTTTGTATGTGTTTCGGTTCAATGGTTCAAGATGATAGTATACTGATTTTCAGGTTCATATGAAGACAATGATAATGTTTTCAGCACATACATATGCACGCAAAAATACACACACACACACACCTTTCAACTCAAGGGAATAACATCTGTGTGTGTGTGTGTGTTACCAGTATGTCTAGTTTGGCCTGACTGTCATGACGAAAAATATTATGAATGTTGGTTATTTAATTACCAGAATAAACTTTAGTTCCTGGTCATTTTAAACTATAAAATATACTACTATTTTTAGGGGGGGGGGGGTGTTATATTTCTGACTAAGGACACATGTAAGTGGTCAAATAAGGCCGACTAAAAATATATTCCCTAAAAATCTATATCCTAGTCCAATGGTACACCTTAAAGTGATAAATATCGCAATACACTTTAACAATCTTTATGAGCAATATCTCCTGTAAACTTAGGCTGGTGGGCTAGTGGCAAGATTTCAAATGGCAAATAATCTTAAGAAATAACGCTTGGTAGAACAGAGTTGAGCACTGTATATCTGCTTCAGTTTTAGCTGGAGTTTAATAAAAGTTGTGATTTGACAAAGCTTAAACACACACACGCACACACACTCTCTCTCTCTCTCTCTCTCTCTCTCTCTCTCTCTCACACACACACTCACACCTCTAAGAAATGCCGTTTGTTTCCTATGTACTTCTGAAAAAAGGTCTCATGAAGCACCACAGAATAATACATACAGTAAGAAAATATATACACACACACACACACATGAAAGGGAACTGTACAACAAAGACTGGGGTACAGCTTCTCGGTCGTGATACATGACACGGCAGTA